TCTATTCTTTAGATAATAGTTATAATACCTTCGCTTTATATATAATCTACTTAGTAAGTATATCTTCAATTATCTTTTCTATTATATTAAATAATATAATTAGACAATATATATCTAGTTTACTTATATCCTTCTTATCTTTAGATAAGATGATAGTCTTAACCTTATAAAATATCTTTAAATAATAGCTAGCTTACTAATAGACTATAGTTAGATATATAAGTTAAGTTGTTAATAGATTCTTAAGTATCTTTAAGTATCTATTTAAAATATTGTCAAATTTAAATACTTTCTAAAAGTTTATTTTATAAAGAAAGTTTAATATATCTTTATCTTATATAATATATATTATAAAGAATGATTATATATATAATATCTTTAAGTCAATAAAGTCTACTATCGACTTAAGAAAGAACCATCTTTAGAATACTTTCAACTTTTTATCAAAGATGATAGTAAGGCCTAAAGATAACTTAAGAGTCGATAGAAAAGGTAGCTATAATAGCTTATTATTATAATCTTAAGCCTATCTTACTATAAACTATATTTATTATAGATTATAGGTTTTAGTTATTATATAAAAGCTATTTTTTTATATCTTTTTATTAACTTTATAAATCAACTTCTTTTTTCTTTAGTTAGCTTTTCTTTATTATTAAAATGCTTCTAAAATACTTATAGTCTAAATTACCTTATAGACAATATACTCTTTCTTAACTATCGCTTATATCTTAATATTCTATTAAGAATATCTTAAGATTCTCTCTCTTCTTTTAAGTATATAATCGTCTATAATATATAATAGCTTATTTATTAAAATATTAATATACTCTTTAATCTTTTTTAATATATTAAAGTCGCTTAAGATAGATAGGTTTTATATATTATATCTAACTGCTTTTTAGTTAATTAGTTTCTAATTATATATTATTAGTTTTTTATATATTTATCTATCTACTTTCTAAATTCTAACTATCTATAGCTAATGATTACTTCCTTATAAGGATAAAGTCTCTTTATATATAATATCTATATATTTAATAGCTTAGATAAGATCAATTATAATATTTAAGCCTTTTCTATTAAAAAATATAAAAGTCTTTATAAAAGTAAGAAAGTTTATCTATTATTAGTCTACTAACATTATAAGTTTCTTTACTTTATTATAGTAAGTATATTTATTTAATATCTACTTTTTATAATATAAATTAAAATCTTCTAATATAATTATAGTCTATAAAAATAATATATTTAATAGATTATTAAATAATATATACTATTTAGTAGTCATTATTAAATCTAGGCTAAGCGAATATATAGTCATAAAGATGATTAAACTATTTATTATCTTAATTATAATCTAATAATAGTCTCTTACTATCTTACTTTTAATCAACCTTATTCCTTCCTTTACTAAAAGTATAGTTTTTAGATAAATAATTATATTTTATATGATTATATATTTAAATGATTAAGAATATACTACTTTTAATATACTTATACTTTATAACGACTTTATTATTATAATTATATTATATCTTTTTCTTTTATATATTAGTTTATTCTATATCTTCTATTTCTTTATTATATTCTAATATAATACTTTTATATCTAACATTTTATTAATATATCAACAACCTTATATAATCTCTTTAATATTAAAGTATTTTCTATTTAAACTAAACTTATCTTTATCTACTATAAAAATATAATAATATTATGATTTTCTTTACTTACTTTAATAAACTTAAGCAGTTGTTTAAGGCCTTAAGTATATTTTATTAACAATTTTTTATTAATTCTTAATTTTAACCTTTTAAACACTTTTATAAATCTTTTAATAAATTAGAATCTATCTTTATCTATGATAAGAAGATATTATATAATCAAAAAGTTATTAAGTTTTATAAAAGATATAAGCTTATTCTAGAATATACTTTATATAATTCTTCTTACTATTTAGATAAATTAACAATTATATAATTATATAAGATATTTATCTTTATAGTTTATATAATATATAATATCTTCTTCTCTTTTATTAATATAATCATTTTCTATATATTTACTACTATCATAATACTTATAGACTATCAACACTTTATAAACACTCTATCTATAACTATATTTATAATATTGATAGTATCTTTATACTTATACTTTTATATAAAAAAGTATATAAATATATTATATAGAATTCTAGATAAGATCTTTCTTATAAAGTAGGTTTACTATCTTCTAGCTTTTAACGTTAATATAAATTATAATCGATATATAGTCAGTATACTAAACCTTTATTAGAAGCTTTATTTATATAATATCTTTTATCTTATTATCTTTTTATAATTTTTAAATAAACTATCTTTTATCTATATTTAATATTTAAGCTATTATTATTTTGATAATAACTAGTATATATAGTATCTAATATATAGTTGCTTTCTAGCCAAATATCTTCTTAATCTACTCTTTTTATAATATTCTTAATATTCTCACTTCTTAGTCTTTAAATATAATCTTCTAATCTCTAATATATATATAGCCTATAGTTATTATATTTAGAATATCTAGTATCTAATTGATTTCTACTACTATTTAGATATTATCTTTCTTATCTAATATTATATCAACTTTAGTATTCTTTTATAAGATTTTAATTATAATATTATATTAATTTTTCATTAAAGTTTACTTTTAAAAGATTATAATTATATTAAAAATAACTATATAAGTTTTAGTCTTTGATTGATTAATAGTAAGGATAGTCGTTAGTTTATCGATTTTAGCCTTAATTATTATAAAGCCTCTACTACCTACTTATATATTATATATAATATATATAAAAACTATAATCAGTCTATTTACCTTTTTTTTATCTATCTTAAAGTCAGTTAAGAATCAGTTTATATCTTTTAAAAGCTTTTCTTTCATATCATTATCATATCTTAGACAGTCTATCGTCAACCTAATCTTAGCTATATATTATAACTAAGCTAGGCCATTTTCACCTTCTATCCTTCCACCACCTATATACTATATATGGTTTGATGTCGGTTCGTCTCTAGGTTGATATTAACCTGCTAATTCTACTTCTAGCATTAAAAGGACGATTTTCTCAATATATGAATTGATATCTAAGTATCAAGATTTTAGCCTTTCTTTTTTTTATAAATATATAATAATATATAAATAAAAATTAGTAAAAGTTAAATAAGTTAATAAATATTAAATTAAATATAAAGTAAAATTATATATTTAAAAAAAGAAAGATTAATAATAAAAAAAAGTTAAATATACTTTAAAAAATAAAATTATTAAAAAAAAAGAAAAGATTATAAAAATATATTATTTATATTAAATATATTAATTATATTAAAATATTCTAATTAAAAGATATTTTAAAATAAGTTATTTTTTTAAAAAAAAGAAAATAAATAAATTATAAAAGAAATTTATATAATATATAATTATAGTTAAAATAAATAAAAAGAATAAATTAATAATACTTTAATAATTATAAAAAATAATTATAAAGATTATTTTAAAGTTATAAAAGATAAAACTATAACTTTAATAATAAAAAATTATATAAAATATCTTATATACTTAACTTAAAAAAGTTAAAAATATAAAAGATAAGTAAGTAAATAAAGGAAAAATTATATATAAAATACTATCTAACTAATAATTACTTACTATTATATTAATAAAAAGTTTATTTATAATATTTTATAGTTAATTAATTATAAAAAAATAAAATAAAAAATAATCTACTTTTAAACAAAAGTTAAAAATATTAACTTAATAATATTTATTTATTATATAAATAGTATATAATTATCTTATTAAAAAGATAATAAATTTATAATATTAAAGCTTAAAATAAAATAATAGAAAATTATCTATAATTATTATAATAATCTTAAATAATTATTAAGAAAGTTTATTATAACTTTATTAATAATAAAATAATAAAAAACCTACTAATATTAAAAACTAATACTTTTAAAAAAAAAATATTATAAAGATATTATCTTTTTAATATAATTATAGCTATAAGTTATAAGTTTATATCTTATCAGAGGATATAGATTCTTTATAGAATATATAAATATCTTACTATCGTTTGATTATAGATCGATTGGTAAGTAATAGTCTTAGAATCTATATATATTTAGCTTAAAGATAATAAATCAATAACCTTCTTTCTATTTTTTACCTTATATATATGACTTAGCTTTACTATTCTTATAACTTTAGTAAGTTTTATATACTTTAAGATAATAAGGTTGATAGCTAATTTAATATACTCTTTTATCTCTTCTTTTCTTACTTACCTTTTAAAATCTTAGGTAGGATAATGATAAAAATAATTTGATAATTTAGTTAAGATAAAGTAGTTATATAGCGAGTAGCCTAACATAATGAGTAACCTACTTAAAAAATATATAGTTAAGGCCGATTTTGATATCCCTGTTAAAAATATCAAACCTTACTAAAAATGGATATAACTTAATATATAGCTTATTAACTATATAAAGTTATATATATTTGAATTTTATCTTATTAAGCTTAGTAAATGTTAAGATATAAAGAGTAAAAGCAAAAAAGTTCTTTACTTTTTTATTATAAGTGATTGACAGGTCTAAATACGCTAAAATTCAAATATATATAACTTTATATAGTTAATAAGCTATATATTAAGTTATATCTATTTTTAGTAAGGTTTGATGGTTTTAACAAGGATATTAAAATCGGCCTTAACTATGTGTTTTTCAAGTGGGCCACTCGCTATGTTGGGCCACTCGCTATGCAACCACGTTAATAGCTTTTTAAGGACAAAAGGTAAGCAGATATTATAGGCCAATTGAACTTTGAATTGGGAAAATACCGCTTGAACGACACAGGGAAGCTTCTTCTGGAATAGCGAAAGCGTTGACCCAGAAGATGGGAAACTGTCAGGCAAGAAAGCACTTTTAAACAGAACACAAGCGATAGTCTCACGCTGCAGGACTTTAGTCTTAGCTCGCTACGCATCGAAAGACCCCGACGTCAAGTGGCACGTGCAATCTAATCAAATAATCCTAAACGTATAGCCCTCCCAACGGTACTGCGGGCTATCATCATAGCTATGATAATCTGGCCAGATATAATAGTCACAGAGAAACGGCTTTGACTTGTCATCTCCCAAAGAGGTTGACTGCTCATCGATTGGGTCAAGTCCACGCCACTGACGATCATGATCGTGCTTCTCCTTGTCCCAAGACTTGTTGAATTGGTATATCCAGCTGTCCGAGTCAAAGACCCACTCCCCCATATCGTGGTCCACTTTCAGCAACTCCATCTCGTTTGTCACAGCCTGTTCTTCTCCGAACTCGGTAGTCGTCCACTCCACTGTCATCTTGGGACCTTGGAAATCAAAATCTTGATCGTAGAACGAAGGATCTTCGTTGGTCCACGACCCATTACGCCTATCTTGGTCTCGTAGCTTTTCTCGCGTATTCCATGGCCCAAACAGAGTCTTACGGCCGAGGTTCTCCTCGAGTACCTCTGCCAGCTCCTCCTCATCACATAGATCGGCCATCGACACTGTGAAATCGTTCCTGTTTAGCTCCTGGTATTTGTATTATCTGATATAATGCGACTCACCTATGGTCTTGATACTCTGAACCAGCGCGTCCAACTTGTCCAGATGATATTTCATTGCTGCACGCTTCTTCCATAGCGTAGAGATGCCATCGCGAAGTGTCTAGTGAAGGGTTCAGCATGCTTTCCCTAAATGTAAACCGCAAAAACCTACGTCTCGTTCATTCATCGCGTCGATGAAAGAAATGATAGCCACCACGATCGTGGCACCTGCTGCGATAGCCCCTAACACGCCGATCAAAGCCCAACCCGCAGGGCCAGCAACCACTCCGAGAAACATCCCGACTCCGGTGACTACCGTCAGACTAGAGCTGGCAAGACAGATAATGTCTAGGACAACGCCTCCGACGTTACCGGTCTCTAGTAACCTGGGGCGCAATATCGAGTCAGCATATCTCAGTATGTCGAGAGGAGGAAGATCTACACACTCGGCCTTGATTTTGTCAAACTTTTTCATTTCTTTGTTGTCACTTATCTTATCTCTGATGGCCTGACGAAGCTCATCGCGAGTCTCATAGCCTTTTCGACGTAAGGCATCGTCGACCTTCTCTCGGGCTTCCTTGAACACCTTTATCCTAGATGAGATAGTTGTTTAATCCACTGGCCTTGTATAAGTTGCCTGGATGGATTTGGTACATACTTTTTCTTTTCAAGTGCCTGAAACTCGGTCTCATAGGTTCGAATCTGAGCCAGCAATTCATTGAATCGATTGCGGCGGTTGGGGTTGTCGGGGTAAAAGATATCACCTATGGCCCGAGACATTTTGCACAAGGTCCTCCTTGGATTGTAAGTCGAGTTTTTGGCGGCAATCCAGTCTGTTTACTGCGGTACCTTCTGCCTATGCTTATATAGAGGAGATGTCGAAGTTAATAGCAAAAGGCGTCCTTGACTAAGTATATCTCGGGCTTTATCTAACCCCCATTCGTATTCGCCGTCTCTTTTGAAAGCCTGTTTTCGTATTCCGTTCCTCGTCATCATACTTGTCGACTCAACATTGTTCATTCTCTCTTATCCGGAACCTGTCCTCGCTGCCTACGTCAGGTAGAGTCTCAGCTATGAACTTGCAATTAAGAATTGCAGTTCTTTTCCTGTTCCAATCTTTGTCGTGACAGGATCGCCATTGATCTGCAGACCTGCCAAGTTCCCGCACCTAGGGCGTTGGGCACGGCACGACGCGCTAGACTGCTTTATCAAATCAGCATTTCAGATGGTTGAGTGGATCTCACTGAGGCCAGCTGAAAAATTACGATAAATCATTTTAGCGTCAGAGCGGGATGGGCTGAACCTAGAAAGCGGTAAAGATCTTCAGATAGACCTTCTCACTCGTGAGAAGGTTTGTCTAAGTTGTTGGCAAGAACGTCATCCTATCAGAAATATGTCTTAATTCCTACAGTATCCAATAAGTGATCACTATGGATAGACCAGGGCGGATCATTCACGACTGTTTGCGAGAGGGTCTACCTACGTGAAGAACATGGTATGTGACACAACAGCATCTGAACTTTCTATAAACTAGACATCTTCTCGCAATATTCCTCGTCTATTCCTCAATCACTTCACTTTTCAGTATCGCTTCATCACACGCACAAGCCAGACGCCCAGCACTCAACTGCATTCTTAAACGTTTATCGTAACAATGGACGAGTCCACATTCTATCCAGGTTCGAAAGCATCCATCAGTAGTAACTAGATGAACTTATCCTGACTCATTCAACTTGGTCAGACAACCAAAAAAGAGTGTCTCGGGTCGAGGGACTAATGACATCCATAAATATTCACCTTGAAGCTATCCAAACCAAAGCCGACGATTCGAAAGAATTCGAAGGAGTCATCAACGACAATATCGAAAAAGCCATCCAGGAACAGGGGATGAGATCTAAGAAAGATCTGGAATCATCCCTGAACCATGAGTGGAATGATAGGCTGAAAGAGGAAAACGAAAAAATGCTCGAAAGGATCGGCAAGGAAACGGCCGATGTAGCACGTTGCATAAGTATTGTAAACTATGTTGGCATCATCGCGGCAGGCATTGGGCTTACAGGTAAGCTGTGCCCCTCACAATAACATACTTGAACTAATAACAATGCTCTACTACCAGCTCAAGTTATCGACATCTTCAGATATGGCACCGCCATACTTGGAAGCAAACTGGTTGGGCGTGGCTTGATCAAGGTCGCGAACAAAGGTTGGTCATGTCACATATATGAGTCGTTATGGAAGCTGACTAGTTGGTGAAGAGTTTTCCGCAGGGCTTCGTCTTATGAGACGGGCTTTGAAGCTCAAAAGATCTGTACGTGCCTCAGGAAATGGGGCAAAGGTCATCAAAGGTATCAAGAAGGTGGGAGGGGCGATCGCCATCCTCTCAGTCATCGGAGACACGTACCTCAGTGTCTACAGTCTTTCCGAAGGGGGTCACCACCGACGGGAGCTTCAAAGGCGAGTCAACTTGCAGATAGCTGATGGTATTTTCATCAAGAAACTGACAGATAATATCAGTGCTATCAGAGACCTCTGTGCTCGGCGCTTCAGTGTCAAGTATATCCAAGATCTGCACCAAAAGTACCGCTCCTTTTTGCAGAGCATGTACACGGCGGTCAAAACAGATCGCGTGATCAAGAAAAAGCTGAGGATGGGAAAAATCACGCAAAAGGATTATGAGGAAAGGATGAAGGATGTTATCGAAGGAATAGCAGAGGAATTAAAAGACGTAAGTTACCGAAGCCTATGGCTTTCTGTGTCTACTAAACCTCTGTACTAACATGGACGACCAGCAATGCAAGAATGTCACTTTCAATAAGGTGTATGGGGAGCTACAAAGGGAGGATAACCGCAACAACGCCTGGACAAAGGAGGATTTGGAGGAGGATGAACTCAGAGAACGTTGGGATAATGGGGAGATTACACAGTTTCTGTCCAGTAAGGCAAATGAAAAGATAGAGGAGGAGGGGGGCGAGGTCATGATGTCGGCTCAGTTGGAGGAAGACGACGATGAAGACCTCGAAGTGCCAGAGGACGGGGATTGCAGTAGCGAGGATGACAGCATAAGCGACAATTCTGATGAGGAGAACTAGCTCTACTTTGATACGCTGCTAGGTGGCCACACATACACAGTAGAGTTTAGAAATATACCGTTTGTACAAGACGTTAGCATGATGACCTAGTTTACAACAGCCCGTTTGATGGGGTAAGCAAGGCAGACTTCGACACATGCTAGTCCCTACACAGGGGCTTAATAGCGGGCAGCCGACCGCCTAACCGGTGCGCAGGGCGTCGGGGCGTGCAGTGACACTTGTGGCAAACGAACAATGCAGGTTAGCAATTCGATACAATGGGAGCGAATTGGCAATTATTGGCCGTCGTGCGTTTCTTGGTTGTGAGTTGACAGGCTTATCTGCCCCCATGTCAGCATCAAGTCGTTGTTAGGCACACCGGCCCGCTCCGCGGAGATCGCTGAGTCCTGGCCAGATGATCTGTATTGTCGATTCGCCTCCAAAGAAAACATCCTGCTACATTACAGGTGTTGGTTGTAACCGAGCTTTCTCTCTCACCTTATGATAAATACTGACGAGTTGCTTTTATGTAAGGCGATAGATAAGGTGGATGAACCGTAAGATACGGTAGTTTTTTAACTTAGATTGCTCAAAAGTTCTTAAACTATTGTTGCCTAGTAACTGCTATCGATGGCGGCGCTGCAGCTATGTTGCCTTACTAAAGTCTTTATATAAAGTCTACCAGCTATTATAAAGAGAGTATCTATCTTTTTATCTTTTTTTTTATTTTCTTTATATAATGATTCTAGTTTAGTCTATAATCTAACTATACTTTAAAAACTCTAACCTTACTTTCTAAAGTTAGGATAATCTTACTAAAATATATAGACTTTATTGATTTAGTTTTAATATAAGTTAGATAAAGTAGTTTATATTTTATCTTATTAAATTTTATATTATATTTCTTTATCTAATTTTTATATATCTTATATATAAGCTTAAGCTATCGATAAGCTTTTTAGATAGTTCTAGCGTATGTTAGTATATTGATATCGTCTATAAATTTTATTATAATAATATTATTTATTTTTTATAGTCTTTTATATAATGATAATAAATATAAAATAAAAAAAATAAATAAAATTAACAGTCTTTAAAGAATATTAGCTAGTATTTAGAATGTCTATAACTTTTATATATTAAATAGTAAAATTATTATCTTATTATTTAAAAGACTTTTAAAAAAGATAGTTATTTAGATTAAGAATCTTTTTTCCTTTAGTATTTATAATAATCTTTTATAGTTAACAATATTAAATACTTTAAATATATTTAGTAAGAAGAATGATATTATATTATCTTTATTTTAATAAGTATATATTTAATTAATAATAATTTAGATTATTATCTTAGTTAATTTATTTTTATAATTATCTATTTATTCTTTAGATAATAATTATAATATTTTTACTTTATATATAATCTATTTAGTAAATATATTTTTGATTATCTTTTTTATTATATTAAATAATATAATTAAATAATATATACTTAGTTTATTTATATTCTTTTTATTCTTAAGTAAAATGATAGTCTTAGCTTTATATAATATCTTTAGATAGTAGCTAGTCTGTTAATAGATTATAGTTAAATATATAAGTTAAGTTATTAATAAGTCTTTAAGTATTTTTAAGTATTAATTTAAGATATTATTAGATTTAAATATCTTTTAAAGGTTTATTTTATAAAAAAAGTTTAATATATTTTTATTTTATATAATATATATATTATAAAGAATGATTATATATATAATATCTTTAAGTTAATAAAGTCTATTATTAGCTTAGAAAAGAATTATCTTTAGAATACTTTTAACTTTCTATTAAAGATAATAATAAAATTTAAAGATAATTTAAAGATTAATAAGAAAGATAGTTATAATAGCTTATTATTATAATCTTAAGTTTATTTTATTATAAACTATATTTATTATAAGTTATAGATTTTAACTATTATATAAAAGCTATTTCTTTATATCTTTTTGTTAGTTTTATAAATTAACTTTTTTTTCTTTTAATTAGCTTTTCTTTATTATTAAAATACTTTTAAGATACTTATAGTTTAGATTATCTTATAAATAATATACTTTTCCTTAACTATCGTTTATATTTTAATATTTTATTAAAAGTATTTTAAGATTCTTTTTTTTCTTTTAAAAATATAATTGTTTATAATATATAATAACTTATTTATTAGAATATTAATATATTCTTTAATTTCCTTTAGTATATTAAGATTGTTTAAGATAAGTAGATTTTATATATTATATTTAACTACTTTTTAATCAACTAGTTTTTAATTATATATTGTTGGTTTTTTATATATTTATCTATTTACTTTTTAAATTCTAACTATCTATAGTTAGTAATTGTTTTTTTATAAAGGTAAGATTTTTTTATATATAATATTTATATGTTTGATAGCTTAAATAAGATCGATTATAATATTTAAGCTTTTTCTATTAAAAAATATAAAAGTCTTTATAAAAGTAAGAAGGTTTATCTATTATTAGTTTACTAATATTATAAGTTTCTTTACTTTATTATAGTAAATATATTTATTTAATATCTACTTTCTATAGTATAAATTAAAGTCTTTTAATATAATTATAGTTTATAAAAATGATAACGTAGTTATATAATAAGTGGCTTAATATAGTAAGTAGCCTACCATTCATACGTTATATTACTTTCTAACTTTAATATAAATTTTCTCTACTAACAATAATAGATTCTTCTTTAAATTATCATAGCTATTTAAGCTTTCGAAAAAAACCTTAAGCTAAGTATATAAAAAGCTATTATAATTTATAATATATTTTATATTATACTTTATCGTTAATATATTAGCAAACTATTATAATATAATATCTTTTTTAATTTAAAGCTATTAACAAAATTAAAAGAAAAGATACTAATTAAATATATTTTTAACTTAAACTTATAAAGATTTTAAATATAATTTTATAATATATAAAATATAATTAACTATATTTTTAAATTATATAATATATAATATATTAAACTTTAATAAATAGAAAACTTTATATAATAATATCTTAAAATAATTATATATTTTTAATATTAAATCGATTATCAAAGAATATTATATAAAGATTTAAATATAATTAAAAGATA